CAACTTCTCAGAAGCCTTCGCAGCAAGGGAAGGAGAAATTAAATGGGCAGAGGGCCCAGTGGCATAGAACAATCCATATATTCAGGTCCTAGCTCCAAATTCATGTCTGAATTCAGCTCATGTTGCATTCTTAGGAGGAGCCATTAGGCACATGATACACCCAGAAAGATGCCCCCAAACCCTATGTATTAAAGAAGGAAAGTCTGACTTGGACTTACTCTTGTATCTGCTTCGGCTCCTCTTCTGCACAATACACACACCTACCCTCCTTTGGGAACCATCCAGAATCCCCACTCTTTCTCCAGCTCTGCCCAAGGAGTTCCTCTCCTGGGAGGCAGATGAGGTACAGACTTTGAGAGTCTGGCCTGGAGAACAAGGAAGACCTAAGCTTCATTTCCCAATTATAAGGCCTCTCATAGTTACTTCACTTCCTGAGACCTTCTCTCAATGGGTCCTAGGCTCATTTGCAATAATGCTGTAGGCAGAGTGCACAGCTCACTGGTCAACTAATCAATAACGCTAGGCCTCAGCCTACCACCTATCCTTTCTCTGAATTCTCCCAACCTAACCTAATATTTCAGTTAAAGTGGGGCCACCTGTGACTCATACTTTATACAGAGCTTGTTTTATGAGCCCTCATTCATTTGTTCACACAAATATGCCCCAAATACAGATGAAACCGAAATAAACAGGGCCCAGCTCCTGCTACTGAGGCTTAGAGAAAGGCCATAAACTAGAAGGTGGAAAATTATGTAAAGCATTAAAAACTAAGGGCTGAGGTGGTGCCAACTCTACTACAGGAAGTCAGAAGAGGTAAAGTTCGTCCTGCGTTTTGCAGTTTAAATAGGAGTTCACCAAGCAGGGCAAGGCATGCCCAACAGAGAGAATACCAGTGCAAAGGCTCATTCAGGAAAGCAGCCATTGTGTTCAGGAATGGTGAGCAGCTGTGGGGTAGGGGAGGGTATGAGGGCCGCAGTGATGAGAAATGGTTTTCAACTGGATATCTGCTCCAGACAGGTATTTCTAGTCCTAACTTATCCTGCAAGTAACTCGGACTGGCGGAGGTTTTCTAAGCAAGCAAGTAACATTATTAGATTGTTTTCTCTAAACTCAGTGGTGAGCTCCCAGCACTAAAAAGGAGCTTTGATGGAGCATGAAGAGGTGAAGAGGGGCCATTTCAGTGAATAGAGGACAGGGTGCCAGAGACCGTCTTTCCTCACTCCTGGTCTGGCCTGCAGCCCCACCATCCACCCCACTAACCCCTGGCTCAGCAGATAGTGAACTCTGGTCAAGTCCCTGGAACGCCAGGCTCCAGAAGCTGTTAACAGAGTAAAGGGGAGACAGGAGAGGAGGGGGAACCAACTGCAGAGATAAACTGAGGAGGAGTCAGAGAAATATGATGCCGTGTCTAGTGGCTCATGCGCTTCCAGCTAGATGGACTATGTTCAAATTCCACTTCTACCCTTTACTACCTGCCATGACCTTGAGTAATTTACTTAACCTCTCTCAGACTGTTGTTTTCTTTTTTTTTTTTTTTTTTGAGACGAAGTTTTGTTCTTTCGCCCTGGTTGTAGGGCAGTGGCGCAATCTCTGCTCACTGTAACTTCCGCCTCCCAGGTTCAAGCAATTCTCCTGCCTCAGTCTCCCAAGTAGCTGGAATTAGACATGCACCACCACGCCCAGCTAATTTTTGTACTTTTATTAGAGACGGGGTTTCACCATGTTGGCCAGCCTGGTCTCAAACTCCTGACCTCAGGTGATCCACCCACCTCGGCCTCCCAAAGTGCTGGGATTACGGGCGTGAGCCACCACACCTGGTCGAGACTGTTTTCTTATTAAGTGGCAATAACAAGTCCCATTCACTTCAAAGGCTTGTTCTGAAAATTAAAACTGATTTATTTCAGGTGATGAGGATAGTGACCACTGCAGGGAATAATGGCTTTCTAAATGTTATTAAACTAATTCTTAGTATCTTCATTTTTATCTTATGTGTCTCTTATATGATGTGACAAAATCCCTCAGGCTAAAAGATCTTCAAATATAGCAGGCCCATGGAGACTTGAGATGGAATTAGCCCTCCTGAGACGCTCCCAGTGCTGCTGTGTCTCCTACATGAGACTCTAATCAGTTCCTTCCAAGTTGCTTTCTGCCCTCCTTGGCTGCTTGCAGTTTCTGGAAGATCACATTTCCCACCTGACCCAGTGGGCCCAGGGGAGCTGTGGACCTTGTAGCTCAGGGTTTTTCAGAGGTTTCACATGACAACCTGGCAGGGTGCAGCTGTTCCGGGCAAGGGTATTAATAATACAGGCCTTTTTCCGCAAACTCTGGCAAACAGTCTAAAATGACAAGTGAAAACACTGAGTCCAAATTCTCACTGGGGCTTAGGGCAGAGGAAGCCAAAACAGCTCGCCTTTATCAAGGCTAAATCGTGGAAGTAAATCAGAGTTCTGCTAGGGGTGGTGGCTGAGGAAAACCACTGGTGATAAAAGCAAGGAAGTGGAGGAGGAACCATAGGGGAGGGAGCCACGGTCACACTCCTTATGGAATAAACTATCTCGCCTAGGGCAGTTTCAGCAGAAGGTTTCAGAGACCGCGGGAACAGAAAGAAAGAAGTCCATTCGCCTTGCTGGCTGAGGAGCAAATTGGGCCATGGATTTCATCTCAGCAATAGCCAATAAACGCAGCAACTGCTATACTCTGAGATGTCTAGCACAGGAGACTTTATAAAGAACAAGCCGATCTAACCTCACCAGCAAGTGACAGATGGAGAAGGTCTTGCAGGATTTTTGTCCTTTGTCCATATTGCATGAGCACCTAAAACAGTGCCTGGCATTAAAGCACTCAGTAAATATGAGTGACTGAAGAAATACGTGTGTGGGGAGAGAATATAAATCAGCAGCTCCAGTTAGTAACTGTACAGAGGTAAGCAAGCCATCCGGTCTCTAGGAGCCTCTCTTTCTTCATCAGGAAAATGGGGTAATGACACTTACCTTGAAAGCTTCTTATAAGAATTAAGGCCAGGCACAGTGGCTCATGCCTGTAATCCAAGCACTTTGGGAAGCTGAAGTGGGAGGATTAGGCAGCTGAGGTCAGGAATTCAAGACCAGCCTGGCCAATATGGTGAAACCCTGTCTCTAACAAAAATGTAAACAATTAGCCAGGTATGGTGGCACATGCCTGGAACCTCAGCTACTCAAGAGGCTGAAGCAGGAGAATCGCTTGAACCTGGGAAGTAGAGGTTGCAGTGAGCCGAGATCATGCCGCTACACTCCAGTCTGGGTGACAAAGCGAGATGCTATCTCAAAAAAAAAAAAAAAAAAAAAAAAAAAAAAAAAAAAAAAAAAAAAAAAAAAAAAAAAGAATTAAATAAAATGATGTATGTAAAAACCTCTAAAACAATGCATGGTAGAAAGTAGGCACTCAATAAATGGACTTTAATTTTCAGCTACAAATTAGACCTCAATCTTCAGCTATAAATCAGACCTCGACTATCCACTCTCTATTTCCAACTCTTATGGGGGAGGGGAAGGTGGCAGGGGCGGTGGATGAAAACGGAGTGTAAACCAACTGCAGATGATAAATCAAAGGAAAGCAAAGGAAGACCCACGAGGTCACACCTCCCCGTCAAGTACTCTGCTGGGTCTCAGAATTCTCAGTGGTAGAATGCAGGAAAGTGGATCTGTGGTCTTCAAACTGCGCAGAACTCCAACAAGCCCATGGAGACCCTGAGGGGTTGCCTTGGGGTGGGAAAGAAGGAGACCAGTGGGCCCCAAGCAGCATCAGGCAGCTTTCTATGGGAGGCTGTCCTCAGAAGGGACAGTCCCACACTTGGTCCAGCCTGTGTAATCTAATGCTTTCTCCGAGGTCCCCAGTTTCCCCCAGGGCCAGGATTGGGGTAAGGGAGGTGCCTGGGATGCAAAACTGAAGGAGGTGAACATTCTCAGGGCCACACAAGTGCGAGATTGGCACCTGGGTGGGGCACCCAGCTAGCCTCAACCTAGTCCCAATCCTGAGTCCCCCAGCCCTCCTTCAGTGCCAGCCTCACTCCTGTGGCATTTGGCACCACCGGCCACCCTCTCTGGGAGTCTCTCTCCACTGCCTGCCCTGGCACTGTCTGTCATGGGTACAGCGTTCTGTTGCTCTCCATCTCTCTCACTGGACTCTCTTCTTCCTCCTGGGCAAGAAAAGTAGAACAAGGGAAGACCCACTTCCCATGTTGGCCAGGCTAGTTTTGAACTTCTGACCTCAAGTGATCTGCCCACCTCAGCTTCCCGAAGTGCTGGGATTACAGGCATGAGCCACCGCACCTGGCCTTAATTTTTATAAGAACCTTTCAAAGTAAGTGTCATTAGCCAATTTTGCTGATGAAGAAATAAAGCCTCCTGGAGACCGAAGAATTGGAAATAGAGTTGATAGTTGAGGTCTGATTTATAGCTGAAGATTGAGGTCTAATGTGTAGCTCAAGATTGAAGTCCATTTATTGAGTGCCTACTTCTACCAAGCATGGTTTTAGAGGTCTTTCCATATATCATTTTATTTAATTCTGAGTAGAACAAGAGGGAAGAAGTGGATGGGAAAGTACACAGAGGCCAGGGGAGAACACGCTGCGGGGAAGCTTCGTTTGTGGACAGGCAGAGGGAGCGTGGTGGAAGGGCGACAGGCAGATGGACAGGCAGGTACAGACCTCAGGGACAGAGAAGACTCACTCCCCGTCACCTGGCAGAACTTTCTCTCCAGGCATGTCTTTCCCTGCCTCATTGCCTCGTCCAAGTCAGGCCCACATCATCTAACACTAGAACCCTCCCCACAGTCTCCTAACCTGCCAGCTTCTTACCTCTTCACAAAGGATGAATCTCCTGAAGTCCAGCTCTGAATAATGAAGCTCCTCCTCAGAGACCTAAATAGCATCTTCCAGATTTACTCCATTAAGTGCAAATTACCTCAGTCTAGTACACAAGACCATGCTCCCATCCACTCCCCAGCCTCCAAGCAACACCCACCGTGCACACAGCACCACTTCCCTGGATTCACCCTGGCCAACGGCCCTGACTTTGCCTGCACCCTTTCCTCCCTCAGCACACCCTTGCCCCAATTCCACCTGTCAAATCTTTGCACTGTAAACAGCACACCCACTCTCCTCTCTTCCAAGATTCTGCATCCAGGCCTGCCAAAGCCTGAAGCTATTTGCAGATGTTGGCGAGTACACTTCTCTCTGTCGGCTCCATCAATAATTCACTGCATTGCCAGGTATCTCAAAAGCAAGGCCTTTGCCTTGCCTTCAAATCAGAGCCACAGGGTAGAAAGTGGGAACCTGCCCTGTGGTTGCCATGAACCCCCTCTGAGCAGGCAAGTTAGGTGACATGTAATGATGTCCCTTCAGTGGGGAGTTGGTCAGCCACGGCGAAGCAGCCACCGCCAGTTGTTTTATTTCTTGATTCCCTTCTGCACCTCGCCCTGCTGTGGGTCCCGCAGGCTCTCAGTAAATACTAATTGAATTAATTAATTAATTAACTAGCTCTTCCTGCTGGGAGCACAGAACTAATTCCATTAAAAACAAAAATCATTCTCCTGCCTTTTGCATCTAAAGCTGACTTCACCAACGATGGAAATGTTCTATAACTGGATTGTGGTGACAGTTGCACTACTCAATAAGTTTACTAAAAAAAAAAAAATCACTGAATTGGCCAGGCGCAGTGGCTACACCCCTAATCCCAGCACTTTGGGAGGCCGAAGCCGGCGGATCACAAGGTCAGGAGATGGAGACCATCCTGGCTAACATGGTGAAACCCTGTCTCTACTAAAATACAAAAAACTAGCCAGGCATGGTGGTGCACACCTGTAGTCCCAGCTACTTGGGAGCTGAGGCAGGGGAATCACTTGAACCCGGGAAGCAGAGGTTGCAGTGAGCCAAGACACACCACTGCACTCCAGCCTGGTGACAGTGAGACTCCGTCTCAAAAAAAAAAAAAAAAATCACTGACTTGTATACCTAATATAGGTTGCTTTCATGGAATATAAACTGTACCTCAATGAAGATGCTCCAGGTCTGAAAGACAACCTCAGTCTCAGTTCCTGCAATCCATGGCACCTGTGAATGGCTATGAGTAATCTCACGGAACAGCCCAGGCTGCTGCAGGGAGGTGAGACCCCTGGGGTGGCCAAGCGCCAGGTCAGCCTATAGTCAGGATATAGCATAAAGTGCACTGATCCTACTGAACCGTCCACATTGGGCTCTCTAGTGCCCCAAAGCTCGGAGTCAAAGCCCAGGCTGAAATCACTTTCCTGCGGAGGTATCCACTGGCTTCGCAGGCTGTGATTCCTTCACACAGCACCACAGAGCTTCCTCCACAGCAACCCCCACAATTCACGGTTTTACATTTGATTGTGTTACTATTTAATTAGTATTTGTCTCTCTCTCTTTAAACCACACGCTACAGGAGGTCAAGTACCATGGCTCATGTATTCATAGTGCCCAGCACAGAAGCAAGAACATAGTAGGTGTTCATTTAAAAAACCGATGGCTGGGCCGGGCGCGGTGGCTCACGCTTGTAATCCCAGCACTTTGGGAGGCCGAGACGGGTGGATCACGAGGTCAAGAGATCAAGACCATCCTGGTCAACATGGTGAAACCCCGTCTCTACTAAAAATACAAAAATTAGCTGGGCATGGTGGTGCACGCCTGTAGTCCCAGCTACTCGGGAGGCTGAGGCAGGAGAATTGCTTGAACCCAGGAGGCGGAGGTTGCGGTGAGCTGAGATGGCGCCATTGCACTCCAGCCTGGGTAACAAGAGTGAAACTCCATCTCAAAAAAAAAAAAAAAACCGATGGCTGAATGAATGAATGGACACTCTTCACTGACTGAACTAGGGTAAGGCACAAGTCCACTGTTTTCTTTCAGTGCAACACTGTCCTATAGCTGGGTGTTCATGATGAGGGCCTCCCAGACAGGAGGAGAGGCAAAGAGCTAGAAGAGGGAGCCAACACTCCCTAAGACACTTCTCTACTTTGCCTTCACAACAATCTACAAACTGTTGAGAACTATTAAGTTTATGAATATTGATGAATGCTGGGTGTATGATAGGATATATTGTTTGCTAGGAAGAACGATGGCAAGGAAAACCTAGCTGCCCCCCTCGAGTGGAAAACCACTTGGGGCATTCCGAAGTGGCAGAACAATGTATAAATATCTTACGCCAATTACAACAGTTCTTTGAGATATCTGACCCCATGGCTCCCTCATGGAGAATACCTTTTAGTTTGTCTGTGATCAGTGGTAAGTGGGTAACAGCTGCCCACTTGGTATATTTTTGCATTATGAGAAAATACAGAACACCTGTTTGCTAATAATAATCACCTGTTAAGAGAGAATAAATACATGAATCAGAATCTGCTGGGGGCCTTCAGCCTGGAATGCTGTCAGCCCCTGAGGCTCTCAGCTCTGAAGGCTGCTGGCTGACCCCACAGGATAAACCCACTTTGCTGTTCTATTTGGGTGTCTGCTCTCATTTCCTTCAGCGCCGCCTGGGTGGGGGTCTTTACGGCTGAGCTGGTACTCAGTAACAAACTAGCTATTATTATTGCTCTGTCTACAGATGAGGCAACAAAGGCTTTGCTACTGGAACTCAGATCTGTCAGGCTAGAAAGCCCATGCTCTTTCCTAGACATCCCTGATGGGCAAGGGTGAGGTGAGGTGCATGGGCGTCCCTACAGTGCAGTCAAGGTTACCGCTACACAGGCAGGGGTTGAAAATCTGATGGCCGGTGCAATCATGTGCTGCCTTCTGAGGTCTGGTTCCCTGAGTCAGCCTCCTCCAGCCTCTTCCTGCAGTGTACGTGAGCCAGCCTTCAGCACACAGGAGACTCAGAAAACAAAAGAGGATCCTCCCAGTCGTGATCAAAAGCCTGAGTCCACTCACACCTGGGCAGCCTATGCCCAGTGCAGGTTTCCAAAGACCTCTCCATTTACCCTGGAAATACACTCGCTTCTCCATACTCCATTTCCCATCCCACCATCCCAAACTGTTCCTGCCCCAGAGAAAGCTCCTCGCAAATCCTCGTTTTCTTCCCACATGCTCCTAAGGGGAGACACCAAAGTGTCTGCCCAGCTGTAGGGCAGTGTTGCATTGAGGTAAAACAGAGAGTATGTGCCTTACCCCAGTTTGTCAGTGAAGAGTGCCCACTCACTCATTCAGCATTCAATCAACTTTTTAAATAAACACCTACTATGTGCTTGATTCTGTGCTGGGCACTCTGAACACGTGAGCCATGGTACATGACCTCATGTGTGTGTGCCACAAGGTTCTACCCACCCTGGGGCAGGTAGTGTATAGATAGTAACAGGTAGCAGCCAGGCACGGTGGTTCATGCCTGTACTCCCAACACTTTGGGAGGCCGGGCCAGGTGGATCACCTGAGGTCAGGAGTTTGAGACAAGCCTGGTCAACATAGTCGAAACCCTGTCTCTACTAAAAATACAAAAAATTGGCTGGACATGATGGCTCGTGCCTGTAGTCCCAGCTATTTGGGAGGCTGAGGCACGAGAACTGCTTTGAACCTGGAAGGCAGAGGTTGCAGCGAGACAACATCACTTCCCTGCCTCCAGCCTGGGCAGAGTGAGACCCCATCTCAAAAAAAGAAAAGAAAAGAAAAAAAAAAAAGGGTAGTAACAGGTAGCCATAGCATAATGACTAAGAGGATAGACTTGGGTGTCATACTCCCCAGGTTCAAATTCCAACTTACTAGCTATGAGATCTCGCTATGCCTGTTTTCTCATTTATAAAATGGAGCTATAAATTGTACCTAATTCTCAGGATTGTCATGGGGATTAAATGAATGAATATATATATAAAACACTTAGTGCCTGGTCCATAAGAAGTGCAATAGAATCATTAGCTGTCATTGTCTGTTTCTTTCCCCAGTGCAGTGAAGTTGCCTCTTCATCTATAAGGGGAAAGAGCAGAAGACGCTGAGCTAAGGAAGGCTGGAGACCATGGCAGCTGCCCTTGGCACTGTCTGCTCTCCAGGCACTGAGAAAATAATCCTCCTGTGCCAACTCTAGAGGTTTCTTCATCTCGGCTGCCAGTAAGTACAGATGTTGGCACACTGGTACCAGGGAGGAACAGGGTGGAAAGCAGAGCAAAAAAAATCAGCACTTACAGGTTGTTGGCTCATCTGTGAACAAAAACAATCCTCCCTGGAAAAACACACAGCTCTGTAAAATATCACTTTTCATGGGCCACCCAGGACAATTAAGAGATTTCCTATAACTGGTGAACTGGGCTGAAAAATAAGGAAGTCAAATTTCTGGGGCAGCTCCAGAAATTATGGGAGGGGGCTTGTCAGCACCAAATCCTCTTGCTTTCCACACTGAAGGAGGGCAGGCTGCAATATAGATTCAGACAGCTGGACCAGGGGAGCAGAAAGAGAGGCACACAACCAACTGTGAGGGAAACACAAATTAAGACCACAATCAGTTATCACTGCACATCTATTAGAACAGCTAAAGTTGACCGGGCACAGTGGCTCATGCCTGTAATCCCAGCACTTTGGAAGGCCTAGGCGGGTGGATCACCTGAGGTCAGGAGCTCGAGACCAGCCTGGCCAACACAGTAAAATCCCGTCTATACTAAAAATACAAAATTAGCCAGGTGCAGTGGCACACGCCTGCAGTCCCAGCTGCTCAGGAGGCTGAGGCAGAGGAATCACTTGAACCTGGGAGGTGGAGGTTGTAGTGAGCCAAGATAGTGCCACTGCACTCCAGCCTGGGTGACAAGGGCAAAATTCCATCTCAAAAAAAAAAAGAGCGAGAGAACAGCTAAAGTTAAGAAAAAGTGGCAACACCAAATGCTGGCAAGCATGTGGAGGAAGTGGATTAAGTTGCTGGGGGGATTGTAAAATGATACAGCCACTCTAGGAAATGGTTTGGAAGTTTCTTCAAAAGCAAAATAATATGCTTAGCATGCAACTTAGCAATTGAACTCCTAGGCATTTATCCCAGAGAAGCAAAAATGTATGTCCATGCAAAAATCTGAACACGATTGTTCATAGCAGCTTAATCTGTAATAGCCAAAAACTGAAATTAACCAAAATGTCCTTCCATAGGTAAACAGTTAAACTGTGATACACGCACACCATGGAATACTATTTAGTAATAAAAAAAGCAAACTATTGACAAATTCAACAACTTTAGTGGACCTGAAGGGCATTATGATGAGTGCAAAAGAAGCCAACTTCAAAAGGTTGTATATTGTATGATCCTATTTATAGAATATTCTCAAATGACAAAATTATACAGATGAAAAACAAGGGCGGGGTAGGGTAACAGTAAAGGGTCAGAACAAGGGAGATGTTTTTGACAATGAAATAGTTCTGTATCTTGATTCTAGTGATGCCTACACTAACCTACACACAAAGAAAATAACACTATGCACACACATGTACCAATCTCAGATGCCTGGTTTTGATACCATTCTACAATTATGTGAGAAGAAACAAGAAACTGAAGAATGCACCAGAGTCTCCGTACTATCTTTTCAACTTCCCATGAATCTACAATTGTTTCCAAATAAAAAGCAAAATAAAAAGAAAAGGCACACAGCCAGAAGAAAACTGGGATTCCAGTTCATACCTCTTTGCTCCAAAATCCTGGTGTTCCAACCAGGTCAAATTATTCATAGTTCTGTGTGTACCATGACATTTCATACTTCCATGTTTTTACACATACAG